CCAGAGTTCCTCAGCCAGCTTTGCTGGCTGAGGAACTCTGGGAGTTGAAGTCCACAGGTCTTAAAGTTGCCAAGGTTGGAGACCACTGCATTAAAGGATAAAACGAACACAGCTGCCTCAGGGAGCACGAGACAACGAAGCCCCCCCCCCTTGCCCACTGCACCTCAGCTGCAGAGGGGAGAAAAAAAAGAGGACAGCAACAGTGGAGAGGGCTCTCATTGGCTACGGTTAAAGCGGAGGGAGCTCTCTGATTGGCTGGCCTGCCCGGCGCGAAGTATAAGAACTTTAGGCTCTCCAGCGCCGAGCCTAAAGAGTAGCAAGAGCTGCTCGCTTTGCGCGTCTCTCTGCGTTTCTGCGAGGGACGCGCTTTTGTTGGGGGGGCCAGAGAGAGCGTTAAAGCCCTGGCCAGGATCCCCCAACCAAACAGCGGATGCGCGAGCCTGTTGATTCCGGAGTGTAAGTTGACGCCTGTTTTGGAAAGAAAATTAGCCTTAGTTCATATTCCTAGGCTTGTTTTATTTTAATGCCAAGTGTGCGCGCTTTGCTCTAATGCTAGCCAGAGGTTGTTTCCAGAGGGTAAATTGATCTCTGGCTCAAATTAGCCTCGGTTCATCATATCTGTACCAAAAAAAGTTAAACGGGGACCGAGAGTGGTGTGTGTTAACACTGGAGCTGGGTAACGATTAAAAACGGATTCTGCCTTCACCTGGTGGGCACCTGGCTCCGTCACACGGGAACCTTTTGGTCAATTTTAAAAGTTTAATTTTGCTATTAATGTTGTATTTTTAAATGTTTTCTGTAGCTCCGAGGCTCCTTAGGTCAGAAGGGAGGGATAAAAAATATAATGAATTGTTTATGGTTAAGTCTATTGTTAACTAGAGCCCCTTGCCAGAGTGTCTCTGAGTATTTGGGTCTGAGATAAATTAGCCCAGGTGCATTTATTGAGAAAAAGCACCAAAAGGAGGGAATTTGTGTGGTTTGGTCTATTTGTTAACCAAAGCCATTTGCCACAGTTTCTCTGGGCATTTCCATTTGAGGTAAATTTAGTCCAGGTGCATTTAATGAGAAAAGTCACAAAAGCAAATTTGTGTGGTTTGATCTGTTAACCAAGCCATTTGCAATAGATTCTCTGGGCATTTCCACCTGTGGTAAATTTAGCCCAGGTGCATTTAATGACAAAAAGCCCCCCAAAAGAGGGAAAAAATTGTGGTTTGCTCTAATATTAACCAAGCCATTTGCAATAGATTCTCTGGGCATTTCTACCTGAGGTAAATTTAGCCCAGGTGCATTTAATAAGAAAAAAGCACAAAAGAGGCA